TCCACACTCAGATTGTCATAGGGACTCGGTAGGGCAGTATCCAGGCTTAGCTGTAAAGTAGCAGGCAGCATGCATTATACTACCTCACAATAGGATATCTTACTATTACAAGAGAGAGAGCACTCTTATAATGTCCTACTGGCAAAAGTTTCATCCATACAGAGACAAAGGAATCTGGGTCAGAATTGTGAAACACATTAATAATCGGTGACAGTGTTATTCATAGTGTAACAATGTGCCATGTGTAATACATTATACCTGTTCACTTTTAGTAGGGGAAGTGGCGTGCTCTATATTTAGGATTGTGCTATATTTAGACAGAATTTGAGAAAGTACTACACGGTAATAAGCAACCGTGTGTGAATTTTGCATGTTATTCTGAGCAAGAGAGTTTCTCTTTGAGTTTAATTTTAGTAGGCATAAAAGCAAAGGGAAGCTACTCATTTCACATTACATGTCAATGTAAAAGAAAACCATCAATTATTAATGGTGATCATTCTGGCCTTGATACTACTATTTTGAAACTTGACCATTGTGGATATTACTACCTCTGTGTGTTGTTGCTACAATCAATATGTTTTGATTATATTGCCTCTGATCTTGTACTGCCACTGTAATTACCTTGTAGTGATTGGTAATAACAGGGATGCTCTACAACAGGGATAGGTCCTAAGCTTGCTTTCTTTACCATTTGTACTAGTGCGTGTGCCTCATCATGCTCCAAGCGCACACAGTGACTTGGTTCGGTCCCAAAGCGCAACCCACTGCGTTTAACAGTACTTCAGCCAGTGTATTGTATAGGTAGGAATTTTACAATGAATGAATGAATGAATTAAGAGCAAAATTTTATGTGAATGAATGAAAGAAATTAAAGAAAAAGAACAAAAGAAAAAGAACATATATGAATGAATGAAAGAATAAATGATACATCACGGCCATCCCTCCCCAAACATGTTAAAGAACATAAAACTATCGGTAGAACACATGTTAACATCAGCTGTCCTTTTTATAAAAAAAATCTACTTTGAGACATTTTTTACATTAGTAACTAATTCAGATATCTTATTGCATGTGTGGAATGACATGGGCATTGACAGAATGTTAACTGACACTGTTACAGACCCCTCAAAGAACAGAAAGTTTAGAACTATCACAAAGCCTTGCAAACACCTTTCCAGTTTTGTCAAATACATGTACTAAGATCAACAAGAAAGAAAGAAGTTTTAGAACTATAACACTCAAGCATCACAAGCACCAATGCGTATCAGAACAGATCGTGATATGTCATATTTTTCACACACCTCAAATACACATTAACAAAAATAAATAAATAAAACTATCACTATTACTTGCAAAAACTTTCACCTGATGGTATATTCCCTCATAAAAATTAAAGGTGTATGTGAAAGATGTTTTAGAACAATAACTAGAAACACTCAAACAACGCCCTGTAGTATTTTCAATGGCAGATCGTGATATGTCATATTTTTCACACACCTCAAATACACACTAACAATTTTAAAAATTATAAAACTATTACTATTACTTGCAAACACCTTTCACCTGATGGTATATTCCCCTCATAAAAATTGAAGGTGTATGTGAAGATGTTTTGAACACTAACTAGAAACACTCAAACAAGCCCTGTAGTATTTCAATGGCAGATCGGGTGATATGTCATATTTTTTACACACCTCAAATACACACTAACAATTTTTAAAAATTATAAAACTATCACTGTTACTTGCAAACACCTTTCACCTGATGGTATATTCCCCTCATAAAAATTGAAGGTGTATGTGAAGATGTTTTTGAACACTAACTAGAAACACTCAAACAAGCCCTGTAGTATTTCAATGGCAGATCGTGATATGTCATATTTTTCACACACCTCAAATACACCCTAACAAAAAAATTTAAATTATAAAAATATCACTATTACTTGCAAACACCTTTCAACTAAAGGTATATTTCCCTTCTAAAAATTAAGCGAATATGTGAAAGAGTTTTTAGCGATATAATTTAGTCTTTCTTAAGCTGTGTACTGAGAATTGAAGCCAGTGAGCTACAACATGCCCACTTGAAACTTTACTACAAAGCTACTGTACTTATACTGACACTAATAACAAGTATTTGACTTAAAATGAAGTGACAGAATAGGTAACTTATCTTCTACGTGTAGGCTTTCAGTTGTCACAACACTCAGTGTATGTAATCAGCTGTTGAAAATAAACCGGGCTCAATCTTAAAAAAACTACGCTGCCGCCATATTGGCTGCACTGGTCGCGCATTGAGCGAGGCATAGCTTAGGAGCTTTCGAAGAGTGACCACTCCCCTTATAGAGTCTCCCTGGTAATAATTTGAAACCTTACTCAATTTAAGAATGCAGTTGTTAGTTATGTCACACTGCTTTGTTGTTGGTTGGTGTCACAACCAATGTCATGTCCGACCCCCTAGTATAACAACAACAACACAAAATAACAACGAACACACACACACTAAATCAACATTAACCCCCAGCCCCCTTAAATCAAGAATGGCCCCTAAGCTCAACTTGGGAATGAATGTGCAACAAAGCATATCGGTGGCATTCATATAACCCCTAGTTATTGTAGATGTTGATGAACATTCTAACACAAGTAGACATTTCATTTAAAACATTATATTTTGAGGCATTTCCACAAAACAAAATTTTGATTTTCAATTTTCTAATTGTCGTAATAAGAAATGGTGAAATTTCTCACTCGTGCACATTGGCATTGACGGCGGTCTGGTGTCGGTGCCGTTGATGCGTTGACCTTCTCTGTTAGAACAGAAACAGTGATCCTTCTGCCCAGTCCTCAGATTATACTCGCACTGCACACGCTCGTAGTCACCACTGGCATTGCATGAAGGCCTCCACATGTGTGTTGTGTTCCTGACCCACGTCATGGCGCTGTGCATCATTGCTGGGTACGACTGGTTGGCCATACTGGTCATGTTCCCGTCCTGGAGGAAGTTGGACAAGTTCTGGTACAGGTTCCAGTGAGCCATCAGCACTTCCTTCTTCTTCTGGCAATTCTCGGGCACTGAAACACAGGAAGCCATTATTTCTCTACTCATGCTGGGATCTGGGCCTGGTTTGCATAACTCTATCATAGCGCTAAGGTGATTGCAACTTCCATCCTTGAGTTTACGAGTGAGTGAGTGAGTGAGTGGAGTTTACACCACACTCAGCAATATTCCAGCTATATGGTGGTGGTCTGTAAATAGTGAGTCTGGACCAGACAATCCTGTGATCAACAGCATGAGCATCAATCTGTGCAATTGGGAACCCGATGGCGTGTCAACCAAGTCAGCGGGCCTGACCACCAATCCGTTAGTTGCATCTGACAACAAGCATGGGTTACTGATGGACAATATTCATTAGTTCTATGACTATACCAATTGTTTCATCATCTTGAAGCGCCAAAGCTGATTCACAGACTGAATAATACTTTACACCAGGTAACTGCAGGAAAACAACCATGAGAGACTGAGTTGGTTGCACCACACATGTAATGAAGATGACACAACTACCTGGAAGACAGGGCTCCAAGTTCATATTTTGGCTTATTGTTATCAACAAAGTTAAAAATGAAATTTACTAGACAATATTTAATGTTAGTTGCCATATAGATTTTCAGTTACTGTACACATTGTCAAATTTACTAAGTTCCACTATTAAAATCACTATTTATAAACATTCTGTAAATAGTCTCTTAGACTCCAGCCGATCGGTAAGTCACTTGTTAAGCTAAACCTAGCAATCATTATCAATAAATTCTCAAATAAATCAAAGTCGCATTTATTCATGATGAAAACTGGAATGACCACTTTAATTTAATTTTTACCTCACTCGCCAAAGGCTAAGTGTTTCATATTATCTTGTTGTAGTTCTCAAATTTCACTCGACCAATTCACTAGCAGCTTGGAACCATGCTTCATATTTAGTATATAACAAAACATGGAAAATACTTCTGTAATGCAAATGTTCTGCACTGATCCAACTAGGTCTAAGTCACTAGATTCTTCTGGTGTGTTTTCCACAAAATATAAACTGGCGTACAAAAGAAAGAAAGTACACACCTGATGCTTTGGTCAAATGTTTTTATAAAAATAGCGTAATATTTAGAAAAGTGTTTTGATTGCCACTCACAAGTCACAACCATTGTGTACGTGTTGCAATAACACCATAGATATTGTGCCCAATTGGAACATTGCTAGCAGAATATTTACGTGTTTTAAATAGTCTCAAAAACACCAGGTGTGTACTTTCTTTTGTACATCAGTATAGATATGAAAGATGATACTCACTGTAGGGTGTGACACACTTATTGCCACAACCACCACAACATTTCTTGTTGTCTTCTGACAGTCAGCATCGTGCATGGCATGTAGAAGGTCACAGCTCTGCATGTTGTCGCTGAACATCTGTTGCAGAGACTCCAACGTGGGAATAGTATCCATCGGGCATGAGCCATGCTTCCATAGCTACAACACAAATATCACCATAGAGATATGGGGCATGAGCCATGCTTCATAGCTACTAACACAAACACACACATATAGATATGTGGCACCTGCCATGCTTCATAGCTACAACACAAATATCACCATAGAGATATGGGGCACCTGCCATGCTTCATAGCTACAACACAAATATCACCATAGAGATATGGGGCACCTGCCATGCTTCATAGCTACAACACAAATATCACCATAGAGATATGGGGCACCTGCCATGTTTCCTAGCTACAACACAAACACACACATATAGATATGTGGCACCTGCCATGTTTCATAGCTTCACAACACAAATATCACACATATAGATATGGGGCACATGCCATGCTTCATAGCTACATAACACAAACACACACATATAGATATGTGGACCTGCCATGCTTCATAGCTACAACACAAACACACACATATAGATATGTGGCACCTGCCATGCTTCATAGCTACAACACAAACACACACATATAGATATGGGGCACATGCCATGCTTCATAGCTACAACACAAACACACACATATAGATATGGGGCACCTGCCATGCTTCATAGCTACAACACAAACACACACATATAGATATGTGGCACCTGCCATGCTTCCATACCTACAACACAAACACACACATATAGATATGTGGCACCTGCCATGTTCCATAGCAACAACACAAATATCACCATAGAGATATGAGGCATGTGCCATGCTTCATGGAAGTTCATAGCTACAACACAAATATCACCATAGAGATATGTGGCAACATGCCTTGTTTCATAGCTACAACACAAATATCACCATAGAGATATGGGGCACCTGCCATGCTTCATACCTACAACACAAATATCACACATAGAGATATGGGGCACCTGTCATGTTTCATAGCAACAACACAAATATCACCATAGAGATATGAGGCATGTGCCATGCTTCATAGCTACAACACAAATATCACCATAGAGATATGGGCACCTGCCATGTTTCATAGCAACAACACAAATATCACCATAGAGATATGGGACACATGTCATGTTTCATAGCAACAACACAAATATCACCATAGAGATATGAGGGCATGTGCCATGCTTCATAGCTACAACACAAATATCACCATAGAGATATGGGGCACATGCCATGTTTCATAGCTACAACACAAGTATCACCATAGAGATATGGGACACATGTCATGCTTCATAGCTACAACACAAACACACACATATAGATATGTGGCACCTGCCATGTTTCATAGCTACAACACAAATATCACCATAGAGATATGGGGCACCTGCCATGCTTCATAGCTACAACACAAACACACACATATAGATATGATTCATGGCACCTGCCATGTTTCATAGCTAGCAACACAAATATCACCATAGAGATATGGGGCACCTGCCATGCTTCATAGCTACAACACAAACACACACATATAGATATGTGGCACCTGCCATGCTTCATAGCTACAAACACAAACACACACATATAGATATGTGGCACCTGCCATGTTTCATAGCAACAACACAAATATCACCATAGAGATAATCTGGGGACACATATCATGTTTCATAGCAACAACACAAATATCACCATAGAGATATGGGGGTATGTGCCATGTTTCATAGCTACAACACAAATATCACCATAGAGATATGGGGCACATGCCTTGTTTCATAGCTACACAACAATATCACCATAGAGATATGGGGCATGTGCCATGTTTCAAAGCTACAACACAATATCACCATAGAGATATGGGACACATGTCATGTTTCATAGCAACAACACAAGTATCACCATAGAGATATGGGACACATGTCATGCTTCATAGCTACAACACAAACACACACCATATAGATGTGGCACCTGCCATGTTTCATAGCTACAACACAAATATCACCATAGAGATATGGGGCACCTGCCATGCTTCATAGCTACAACACAAACACACACATATAGATATGTGGCACCTGCCATGTTTCATAGCTTCCACAACACAAATATCACCATAGAGATATGGGGCACCTGCCATGCTTCATAGCTACAACACCAACACACACATATAGATATGTAGCACCTGCCATGCTTCATAGCTACAACACAAACACACACATATAGATATGTGGCACCTGCCATGTTTCCATAGCAACAAACACAAATATCACCATAGAGATCACGGGACACATATCATGTTTCATAGCAACAACACAAATATCACCATAGAGATATGGGGCATGTGCCATGTTTCATAGCTACAACACAAATATCACCATAGAGATATGGGGCACATGCCTTGTTTCATAGCTACACAACAATATCACCATAGAGATATGGGGCATGTGCCATGTTTCAAAGCTACAACACAATATCACCATAGAGATATGGGACACATGTCATGTTTCATAGCAACAACACAAATATCACCATAGAGATATGGGGCACCTGCCATGCTTCATAGCTACAACACAAACACACACATATAGATATGTGGCACCTGCCATGCTTCATAGCTACAACACAAACACACACATATAGATATGTGGCACCTGCCATGTTTCATAGCAACAACACAAATATCACCATAGAGATACGGGACACATATCATGTTTCATAGCAACAACACAAATATCACCATAGAGATATGGGGCATGTGCCATGTTTCATAGCTACAACACAAATATCACCATAGAGATATGGGGCACATGCCTTGTTTCATAGCTACAACACAAATATCACCATAGAGATATGGGGCACCTGCCATGCTTCATAGCTACAACACAAACACACACATATAGATATGTGGCACCTGCCATGTTTCATAGCTACAACACAAACACACACATATAGATATGTGGCACCTGCCATGTTTCATAGCAACAACACAAATATCACCATAGAGATACGGGACACATATCATGTTTCATAGCAACAACACAAATATCACCATAGAGATATGGGGCATGTGCCATGTTTCATAGCTACAACACAAATATCACCATAGAGATATGGGGCACCTGCCATGTTTCATAGCTACAACACAAATATCACCATAGAGATATGGGGCACCTGCCATGCTTCATAGCTACAACACAAACACACACATATAGATATGTGGCACCTGCCATGTTTCATAGCTACAACACAAATATCACCATAGAGATATGGGGCACCTGCCATGTTTCATAGCAACAACACAAATATCACCATAGAGATACGGGACACATATCATGTTTCATAGCAACAACACAAATATCACCATAGAGATATGGGGCATGTGCCATGTTTCATAGCTACAACACAAATATCACCATAGAGATATGGGGCACATGCCTTGTTTCATAGCTACACAACAATATCACCATAGAGATATGGGGCATGTGCCATGTTTCAAAGCTACAACACAATATCACCATAGAGATATGGGACACATGTCATGTTTCATAGCAACAACACAAATATCACCATAGAGATATGGGGCATGTGCCATGTTTCAAAGCTACAACACAAATATCACCATAGAGATATGGGGCATGTGCCATGTTTCAAAGCTACAACACAAATATCACCATAGAGATATGGGGCATGTGCCATGTTTCAAAGCTACAACACAAATATCACCATAGAGATATGGGGCACATGCCTTGTTTCATAGCTACAACACAAGTATCACCATAGAGATATGGGGCATGTGCCATGTTTCATAGCTACAACACAAGTATCACCATAGAGATATGGGACACATGTCATGCTTCATAGCAACAACACAAATATCACCATAGAGATATGGGACACATGTCATGCTTCATAGCTACAACACAAACACACACATATAGATATGTGGCACCTGCCATGTTTCATAGCAACAACACAAATATCACCATAGAGATACGGGACACATATCATGTTTCATAGCAACAACACAAATATCACCATAGAGATATGGGGCATGTGCCATGTTTCATAGCTACAACACAAATATCACCATAGAGATATGGGGCACATGCCTTGTTTCATAGCTACACAACAATATCACCATAGAGATATGGGGCATGTGCCATGTTTCAAAGCTACAACACAATATCACCATAGAGATATGGGACACATGTCATGTTTCATAGCAACAACACAAGTATCACCATAGAGATATGGGACACATGTCATGCTTCATAGCTACAACACAAACACACACATATAGATATGTGGCACCTGCCATGCTTCATAGCTACAACACAAATATCACCATAGAGATATGGGGCACCTGCCATGCTTCATAGCTACAACACAAACACACACATATAGATATGTGGCACCTGCCATGTTTCATAGCTACAACACAAATATCACCATAGAGATATGGGGCACCTGCCATGCTTCATAGCTACAACACCAACACACACATATAGATATGTAGCACCTGCCATGCTTCATAGCTACAACACAAACACACACATATAGATATGTGGCACCTGCCATGTTTCATAGCAACAACACAAATATCACCATAGAGATACGGGGACACATATCATGTTTCATAGCAACAACACAAATATCACCATAGAGATATGGGGCATGTGCCATGTTTCATAGCTACAACACAAATATCACCATAGAGATATGGGGCACATGCCTTGTTTCATAGCTACACAACAATATCACCATAGAGATATGGGGCATGTGCCATGTTTCAAAGCTACAACACAATATCACCATAGAGATATGGGACACATGTCATGTTTCATAGCAACAACACAAATATCACCATAGAGATATGGGGCATGTGCCATGTTTCAAAGCTACAACACAAATATCACCATAGAGATATGGGGCATGTGCCATGTTTCAAAGCTACAACACAAATATCACCATAGATATATGGGGCATGTGCCATGTTTCAAAGCTACAACACAAATATCACCATAGAGATATGGGGCACATGCCTTGTTTCATAGCTACAACACAAGTATCACCATAGAGATATGGGGC